ACCTCGTGCAACAGCACATGGGGAACGTGTTGTAACTGAAGGCTTGTTTATTGGTGTCTCTCAGTAGGATGCTCAGGATGCAGGTTTGTGGAGCACAGACACTAGGCTCTATTTATCTGCATAGCTGAGCTCTTAGCTTTCTGTGTGCTCACTAAGTGTGAGTTCAAATGACGAACATATGTCCAACCAGATATAAGATGCATATATGCATAGGAAAAAGAACAATTAATGTAGACTGCCAATGAAATGTATATGCTTTTTCTCCCCAAATCAGTATTTATTTAAGTGGGTCAACTGCATGCTATTATCAGATATTTTCTCCTCCCCCAGTTCAGAATGGGATCTTTCTCTTCTATAATAGTCTGAATTTATGAGGATTTATTAATAAACCAAAATACCTCACCATTTCAAAAAGAAGAACTGTTTATATAGTTTTTTCATCTGTTAGGAATTTAGGCTATAGCCTATGTTGCTTCTTGAGTAAATTTAGTTATTTTTATTATTAATTTGTTTTATGTAGCACTTTACATTTGAAAATCTTTTTACTGCTTGAGGAAATGCCCAAGAACTTAATAAATTCAGACAAATAGAAAAATGAGCTGGGCCCTTCCTTCCTTTCATTCTGCCTTTATTCCTTCCTCCCTCCCTCCCTTCCTCCCTCCCTCCCTCCCTCATTTCTGATCCCTTGTTTATCACATGTTGACTTTTAATGTATTCTCTTCAGTGCTGCATCTTCATTCTTTGTGAATTAAAAATTACCACTTCTTGCTTTGCAGACTGTCCCTTTGTGTTTTGGGTGCTACCCACTCATTCCCTGCCATTCTGTTCAGTTGTGCTCAATATGGCTGAATACGCCTAACAACTCAGCCCAAGACACTGTGCTCTGCCCACATCCCCTCTTTTTAAGACTTTATTTCAGTTCTTCCTGGAAATCATTTCCAGCCTTGCATCTGTAACTGTTTCTACCAGGATGTTCCCTGACCACCTCAAATGCAACATGCCTGTAATGGAATTGCTCTTTCACCATGTGCGGGCTGTGTTTCGGACGTTCCTCCTACTGTGAGAGGCATCATTATTTCCACAGTTACTCAGGCTCAGAACTGGGAAGTCATCCCGGGTTCCTCATTCTTTCTGTCCCTTCATATCTAGCCAGCCATAGGCTAAGTTCCTCCCTCATACCGTCTGTTACATTTACCCCATGGCAGTCCATCCTTATTGCTACCCCTCATGTGCAGGTCCTTCTTGATGAGCCTGCACCATTGCAATCAGTCTTCTAACTTTTCTCCTCCCTCCCACCTCTCCCCATTGCAATCTCAACGCATTTTCTAAAAACACTTCTCTTTATCCAACAAGTTCTTCTTCAAATGCCTTTACAGCTATTTATTCCCCACAGCATCAAGGACTCATTCCTTAGACAAGACAGAGCTTTCCCTACTCCACTTATTTCCATTTACTTCTTGCTTCTCTCCTATAAAACCTCCCTTAACCCCCTGCTCTACTCAACAGCCCTTCAATATGCCTGAACCTCATAGTCTTTTTCTGATTACCTAAGCCCTACTTTTTTCTTAAGGGTCAGTTAACGTCTTCATTTGCATTCTAACTAATCATATTTAAAATGGACTTTTCTTTTTCCTGATACCTCCTGCATCATGTATTGCAATTTTTCATCCATTAATTCAATATCGCTTATTGGCCATTGGCCATGTGTCAAACACTGTGCTAGACACAGGGATGCAAAGGTTGTTAAGGCACAGTTCCTGACCTTGAGAAGTTTGCTATCTTGCTCAGTTTGACCAATGAGCATATAAAATACCTGAGGGCTGAAATCATGTCTTATTCCTCTTTGTATTTCCCATACTTATCAGCATCTTCTACAGAATGCACACAACATATGTACTTATTGCCGTTAACAGTGATGATGAAGGACAATGAGAGGTTCTTGTTCTAATAATAAGGAAGCAAGCTAGAAGCCAGCAACATTTTACTTGATATATTTTACATAGTTCTACTAGAAATTCAAATAAGGAACCTACCATCTGTCCATCTGTTGAGTTTTTAGTGTTGTAGAAACTCTTTTGAGTCATAACGCTATACATGCTCTAAAAATCCTTAAGGCTATTATTATCTAGATTTTTTCTGGGATTGTACAGGGAGGCAAATTAACCCTTTTGGATAATTTGCAGAGTTAATTTAACTTTTCATTAGTAAATTCTATTTAACACACTTACATATATATACTCACACACTCTGATAAATATACATATATAGACTAAACCAGAAATTTATTGCAAATAATGTACTGAAATCTCACTACTACAGTTGGTAGACCTGGCGTAAAGTTAGGAGGTATAATAAGAGTTACTTTTTCATTAAGTGCTTACTAAAGCGCCAGATGCCTTTTCAAGTAGATCATCTTATATTATCTCCCTGAATCCTTAGAATAACTCTCATCATTAGAACCCCCATTTTACAGGTGAGGAAACTGAGATATAGCAAAGTTTACAAACCTGCCACAGTTGTGAGTGAAAGAGCCTAGATCCAGAACCTGGGAACTTTGACTTCAGAGCCTTGTTTGCTTAATGACTATGTTATTATTTCACACACAGGCTGAAAGTATGTACCCATCCCCCCCCCCCAACAACAGGCATGGGAGAAGTGGGGGAGAATGGGAGAGAGAAAGAGAGAGAGAATACGTAATTGAATGGAAAGTAAGTAAGTTGTTTAATATAATCATAGCTCCCATAACAGGGCACTGGGAATTTCAAAGAGTCTCCTCCTCTTGTCCCACTGGGACTTTACTCTCTGTCTCGTGTCCTGTGTTTGGAAAAACAGAGGAAGACAAGGTAAGAGACAGGCTCTTCATGAGCGTGCACAGCTGTTGCCAGATCATTTTGTTTCCTAAAAGGTTGCTCACTGCACAGTGGCCTCTGGGAGGCGGGAGGTGCCACTGTGCAGCACTCCCTACAGGAGTCCCAGGACAGACTGCTGGTGCTACATGTAGGGCTGGCATGTTTGCCCTCCCCCGACTCACTCCGTTGTACGCTGGAGTGGCAGGTGGAGGTCAGGGGTGGGAGAGGAAGGTGGTTGTGGAGTTAGGCTGATGCAGAGTCTCGGCTTCTGAGGCAAAGACAGAAACAAAATAGAGCAAAAACATGTGGCATAACTGGAGAGAAAAGGGACATAAGGAGACAAGGTGCCTGGACCAAATAGCAACCAGGTGCAACTTTAAAATATATGCCCACTGTGTGGGTTAACATTTGCAAACTCTGCCCAGACTTAGACTGTATAGTGCAATAATCTGGTACCTCCCCCAAACACCTAGAGTGGAAGGTAGAAATTATATTCCTTTTACAGAGAGAAGGACTTTTGATAATAGAAAAACCAAAATGACTTCTAAAAAATTTAGCTGTAATCTTTCTGATTTAAGGATGACTGCATTTCTACACATTTGCTTAAGACTTTTAACATTGTTTGGAGAACATAAATAAGGGAAAAATTTTAAATTACTTTAAGCCCTATGATCCTATGGGGGATTGTGCAGCATATCTTAAAGTGCAGATCAAAATGGCTCTGGCCTACAGGGTATGAATAGACAAGGTTCTGAGTTTAAGGAGAGTGTGTGTTTGTGTCCTATGGACTCACAGAAACAAGTCGGAACAAAACAATCAACTAGGACAGTCAGCGGAGGAAACATAGAGCTGTATCACCGAAGTTTTCTCAAAGAGTAGTTTTTAAAAAAATATAGAAAAAAAGTCATGTGATTGATTACTACTTCGATCACCATTATCTTAATTGACTTTTAACTTTCATCATCAAAAAGAAAATTAAGAATACAGACTTTTTCCCTTGGAAGCCTTAGCCTTAGATCAAAGTGGAAATGGGAGTGTGTTAGAAGTATATACACGCGCAGACCTTGTGTGTGTCCCTGGAAGTGAGTTTGCTTGCTGGCTAGCTCAGTTTTTGACAAAGAAAAATGGGCTGCTCCTGTTTCTTGCACAAAGATGCACTGTTCACAGAGCAAAAACCAAAAAAAAAGGGGAATTTGTGTTTAAGTTGAAAAGAAATTAAGGTAATAGCCAACATGATAATATGCTTAGTATAATCTTTCTGTTCACTGATAAAATGTGTCGCTTTTTACAATTAAAAGCATAACTTTGTGGTAGGAACTTAAACTACGGGGAGCTGGAAATTCTAACAGCAAGCATGACACTCCAATTCCGGTTTTAGTATCCCATTATTAAAAACCCAGCTCTGCTTTCTAAAAACTCAGCTTTAGCTCTGCAGTTCTATGGTACTCTTAAGTTTCAGAAAAACAAAAACCGAGGCAAAGTATTTGTGAGGTCGAGCTACCTCTGTTCCTTCCACGGGGCTGCCGTCTGGGCTTGTTTATTTGTGTTTCCAACTTTCTGGAACAGGGAGTTTCTCTGTCAGGGACAGGGCACCAAGCAAAGGAAGTGTCTTACAGAAGACTATCTTTCCTTTCCTTTTTTTTTTTTTAACTGTATGTTCAAACTTCAAGTTTAGCTTGGTAAAAATAGCACAGTCACAAAACAACTAACATAATCACAGAATTTAACAGAATTGGCTTAGCAAATACTCTTCCACACGATGCAAGTAATACTTCCTGCGTGCTACCTTCTTGTGCCTTTCAGATCTTTTTCAAAACAAACTGTCATTAAGGCTATGGCTCTTGGCCTGGAAAGCAAACATTTTCCACGTACCCTACCACAAATAAGCATTTGATTTAAAAATGAAAGAAATATTTCAAAAGCCGTTTTTCTAATTTTATGAAGTACATATGAGCCATGTTACAAAAAAATGAAGCAAACTAAACAAAATCTTTCAATATATAATTAAGAGACAAAGTATTATTCTTAGATTGATTATACAATCTTATTATGAAGAACATTCTAAAAAATTCACAAACCAACACTTAAAACACTAGTAGTCCCTTATATCTGAAACATTTCATTTAACGAATAAAGTAGAAAAAAAAGTACCTTGTAAAGTAAAATCCAGCAGTACATATTCGTAAGCAAATTCTGTCTTTGTTTCCACTTGCGGTCTCTTCAGAGTAGAAAATATTTTTCCAGGGCTGCTATCATCAGGGTCTTGTAGCTTTCTAAGTCCGCACCCCATGGCAAAATCTGTAAGGAATTAAATTGCAGGACAGGGGAGGGAGAGCAGCAAATTCTGTTGTTCAAGCTGCAAAAAGAAAGTTATAGACTTAACTGCTTTGATTTTTTCAGCTAAACCATAGATACTCAAAAAGAAAACATCTGAGTCCAAAGCAAGGAACTGAAGACTTTTTCTATCCATTTTTCTGAACAGTCGTTGAGCCCATCATGATTAAGCTACAGCTCCGGGAGGCTGGGCTTGATCTCAGGAGAAACATCCAAGCTGCTACAACTTAGCGGAGAATTTCCATGCCACGTCAATTTACAGCCAGCCCCCTACCAGAGTTCTGTCGCTTAGGGCACCAACTGTGCTTTGTCTATTCCAGTTGGCTGGATGATAAAAGAGGTGTCCAAAAACAGAAATAAAAAGGCAAAAGTGCAACTCAGATGGAAACATCTACAAGCAGAGGATATATTCAGACACCGTGGCATGCAATTTTTTTTTCTGTTTTTTCTTTTCCCCTCTTTCCTGTGTCCACTCCCTCCTCCCTCCCGCTACTACCAAGAAAGCAGAAGGAGAGAGAGAGAGAGAGAGAGAGAGAGAGAGAAAAGGGATGAAAGAAATGGATTCTCAACATGGTTGGAAACAAAAATCATTTCCAGAACGGAAGTCAGCTTTATGAGGAAGCTTTCTGGAGTCTAAAAGGAGAAAAGTAAGGTTAAAAAAATAAATAAACAGCAAACACTTCAGTCTTTAGGCTGCATTTTTCAGGATTTCTTTCAATATGAAGATTGTTTTTGCTAGAAAAATTATATACTAATAACTGCCAAATGGAAAAAAAACTATATTAAAATGTTAATAAAAAGACTTTAATTGCAAAGGAGAGACAGAAATGTGGATAATGTTTTCTCAATGTCCTTAAAGTTTAAAATACTTTACTATTAGAAAGTTTATGATGGTAATTAATAACACTTTACACATCCCAAAGTATCCATAATTAAAAAAAAAACAACAAAACTGACAACTTGATTCATTCAGTCTTTTAAAAAATTTTTGTTTATTTATTTTTAGAGAGAAAGGAAGGAAGGAAGGAAGGAAAGGAGAAATAGAGGGGAAAAAACATCATTTAGTTGCCTTTCACATGCCCAAAACTGGGGACCTGGCCCACAACTCAGGCATCTGCCCTGACTGGGAATTGAACCCGTGACATTTTGGTTTACAGGAGGCTGGCACTCAGTGCACTGAACCACACCAGCCAGGGCTCATTCAGTCTCATAGATTGCCATTTACCTGAAGTTGAGAGCAATTTATGATGGATCGATTGTAATGAGTGTTTATTGTTATTTTACCATTTACAGGTCAGGTGGTAAGATGCATTCATCAAAACGGAGAGCCCTTCAATCAGCTGGCTAGGGTTCAGTCCTGCTTCTAATACCTACTAGAGACAAGATCTTGGGCAAGTTACTTGACCTCTTCAAGTTTCAATTTCCTCCCCTATAAAACAGAGTTAATAATAGTACTTACTCCATGGGCTTGTTATGAAGATTGAATGAGATAACCTTATCTCACATCCTAACACAATGCCTGCCTAATAACACAAAATAAATTTGTTAATATGCTTACATTATAAAACAGGGTTGAGAACAGCAATAGGAAGGAAGTGATTCTGCCACCACTCCCATTATTTACAAATAATCCCTGATCTTATTTCAGTTGTAGAGAACACAGCTTGAAAAGATTTTTCTAGTCATATTGAAGAAGACACATGAAAACTGGGTTTTGGGGAGAGGGATGGATCACTCTAACCTCTGGTCCCTTCCTTCTGCCTACTTGGTCTTTACATAGTTTATTTCCCAGAAGTGTTTTTACAGAGGAAAATTCCATAGTCCGTCATTCTCAGAGATGAGTATGGTTGGTGGTAAGCAACTCCTGGGTAAATTTCTGTAGAAAGACAGAAGACCCTGACCCGGTGTGACTTGTTTGATTATGTGACACAGTGCTTTGCTGCCTGCCACTTTTCATGGTCTCTTTTGTACGATATGCTGTGAACTCCTGGATGGTAGAGAATGGAATATTTGAAGTTCACTAGTTTTTATTGCAGTGCTGAAGATTATTTCTTAAGTACTCGCTATATTTATTAAGTCCCTGCTACGTTCCAGGTACTGCAATAGATGCAGGCTGGGTACACAAGATGACCAAATGTGGTTTCTGCCCTAAAGAAACTTATGGTTTAATGGGGAAGGCAGACTTATCAACAGATAATTTCAATATGATTTGGCAGCTGCTGAGATAAAGCATGCATAGGATGCTACAGAACCCAAGGAGAAGCCTCCGAATCAGCTTAGAGGATGATATATGAACTATATTGAAGGATGAATAGGCACAAGGTAGGTAAAGCTGGGAAGCATGTGTCAGGAAAAGGGAAAGGCATGAGCAGTATCACAGAATCATGAAACAATCTGGCATACACTTGAAGGAACATGAAGCAGTCACAAATTATTACAGCATAAACTTTGAAGGAAGCTGCAAGGCAGGCAAGAGCTAATTTGTAGTGGGTAACATGCCACAGGAAGGGAATCTGAACTTTATTTAGCAGGAAACAAAAGATGAATCAAGTAATCAAATGAAAAAGTCAAAGGAGGAGTTTGAAGTAGGCAAGGAGCATCAGTTTGTCTTTCTGAAGAGTCACTAAGGCTGCTCTGAGGAATAGCTAATGACTGAACGAATGAATGCGTGAATACGATGTCTCACATGTCCTGAAAGAATTTCTTTTATCTTTAGTAAATGGAACTATAGTTCCTTTAGTTCATAATTGAGCCATTGTGCAATCATTTTTTGTCTCCAAAGTCTAACAAAATTAAATTTTACTTGACCCTTAATGATATTGTAAAAACACATTTCCACGTATCAATGTGGCACATATTCCTACTATTTTAACAATTATGTGGGATTTCACTGTATTAGTAAAGTGCCTAATAAGTAACACTTTGGCTATTTTCAAAGTGAAGATTTTTGTAAAGATTACTTTTTCCCCACCTAAGTATTTTCTAGGAACTTAGATTTTGCTTCATGAGTGGTCAAAGGAAATAGATTAAATACAAGGAGATCAGTTAGAAAGCAAGAGAAAATGCATTTTAATGAGTAAATAATTCTTTATGTTACTTACAGAAATATGTGGTTGGCCATAAAACTATTTAAGGTATTAACCTTATATATATATTTTTTAACTGTATTTCAGGCAGTAATAAGTTTTTGTTGGTTACCACATACAAGGTCTGTTCAGAAAAGTCCAGCCATTGTTAACATAACAAGAACAGTCTGTGCAGTATTGCTGTTTCCTGGCGGCCAAGGACAGTGGACTGGAATGTGCAGGTGTGAACAATGACGACTTCACTGTAGTAGTCAGTGGGGGAGGTAGATGCCACTGAGTGAGCACATGTACTGTGTGGTTGTCACATTTAAAATGACTGAGTGAGTAGAGTATTGAATCTGCATCAAATTTGCGTTAGGCTTAAACATTTCCCCATGGAAACTAGTCATATTCAGATGATTCAGAAGGTTTTTGGGGATGATACAATGAGTACAGCACGAATAAAAATGTGGCACAAATACTTCAAAAATGGTCAAGAATCTATTGAAAGTGATCCACATTCTGCAACCAACGGAGCACCTGAGAATGTTGAATGTGCACAGGCTGCAATCAACAAAGATTGGCAACTGACAGTGTGAGAACTAGAAGCTGATCTGGGGATTCCAGAAACTCCTATGTCAAGATTTTGGCACAGGATTTTGGCATGAAACGTGTCCTGGCAAAATTCATTTCACGGCTTCTGCTACCAGAGCAGAAGGAACATTGTGCTGCAGTTGCTAGTGACTTGATTCAAACCACTACCAATGAACCAGATTTCCTTAAGCTTTAAGGGGACTCAGGCGTTATTGTCTTTGTATAATGTTTCTTGTATCTTATGTTTTCTTCAGTAAGTGTCTCTATTTTTCATATCGCATGGCTGAATTCTTCCTGGAAAAACCTTCATATATTTGTTCCATACCTCTTTAATGCCTCCACATTTTCAAACAAATACTTCCAGTATTTGTCAAAAAGAATTTCTGCCCCTCCATTTTGTCCTTAACAAAAATGTACATTTCTTCAATAGTATTACTTCTTATTCTAAAACAAATGTTCCAATTTGTTTTTTTTTCCTAAAAGAATATACTTGATATTTTAGAGCAATGTTAGGTTCACAGCAAAACTGAGTGGAAAGTACAGAGAGCTTCCTGTCTGCCCATCAATGAACCTGCACTGATGTCATTATCACTCTAGTCCATAGTTTCCACTAGGGTTCGTACTTGGTGTTGTACAGATCCTGGGTTTTGACAAATGTATGACATGTGTCCACCATTATAATATCATACACAGTAGTTTCACGATCTTAAGTGTCTGTGCTCTACCTATTCACCCCACCCGTACTTCCTATTTTATTCTAATGCATCTGGCAATTGTAATATAAAAGGTAAGGTATGGATCTAAGTCAGTTCTCCTCCACACAGATATCCAACTGTTACAACCACATTTGTTTTCACAGATAATCTCTCACCCATCATTTTTGCCAGGCTTGTCATATATTGAGTGCTTATAATTAAATTTTGGGAATAAATGTTTTCTAATACTGGTTATTTTTTTTCTGTATTGAATTATATATATAATTTTTATCCTCACTCAAGGACATTTTTTTGACTGCTTTTAGAGAGAGGGGAAGGGAGGGAGGGAGAAAGAGAGCAAAACACAGATGTGAGGGAGAAACAGCAATCTGTTGCCTCTTGCACATGGCCTGACTGGGGACTGAACCCATAACCCAGGCACGTGCCCTGACCAGGAATCGAACTTGCAACCTTCTGGTTTATAGTACGATTCTCCAACTAACTCACACTGGCCAGGGCCAAATTACATTTGTTTGTCACCAACTGTAGATTTCAGGGACAGCTTTCACTTCTGTATTTTATTTTATTATTTATTTTTTTAATTTATTTTTTTACTGATTATGCCATTACAGTTGTTCTATTCCCCCCTTCATTCCCCTCCACCCTACCCCCCCATCCCTACCGTTACCCCCCCTTTAGTTTATGACCATGTGTCTCAAGTTCTTTAGATTCTATATTTCCCATACTATTCTTGCCCCCCATCTATTTTCTATCTACTGTCTATGCTACTTATTTTCTGTACTTTCTCCCCCCTTCTCCTCCTCCCACTCCCCTGTTGCTAACCTTCCTTGAGATCTTCATTTCTATGTTTCCACTCCTGATCTAGCTGTCCTTTCAGTTTGTTTTTGTTTTAGGTGTGGTTGTTAATAACTGTGAGTTTGCTGTCCTTTCACTGTTCATGTTTTTTTAACTTCTTTTTCTTAGGTAAGTCCCTTTAACATTCCATATAATAAGGGCTTGGTGATGATGAACTCTTTGAATTTGATCTTATCTGAGAAGCACTTTATCTGTCCTTCCATTCTAAATGAAAGTTTTGCTGGATAGAGCAATCTTGGTTGTAGGTCTTTGGATTTCATGACTTGGAATACCTCTTTCCAGCCCCTTCTTGCCTGTAAGGTCTCTTTTGAGAAATCAGCTGACTGACAGTCTGATGGGGACTCCTTTGTAGGTGACTGTCCCCTTAGCTCTTGCTGCTTCTAGGATTCTCTCCTTCATTTTAATTTTGGCTAATGTAATTATGATGTGCCTTGGTGTGTTTCTTCTTGGGTCCAACTTCTTTGGGACTCTCTGAGCTTCCTGGATTTCCTGGAAGTCTATTTCCTTTGCCAGATTGGGGAAGTTCTCCTTTATTATTTGTTCAAATAAGTTTTCCACTGGTGGCTGTTCCTTTCCTCCTTCTGGTACCCCTATAATTCGGATGTTGGAGCGTTTAAAGATGTCCCGGAGGTTCCTAAGACTCTCCTCATTTTTTTGAATTCTCGCTTCTTCACTCTTTTCTGTTTGGCCATTATTTGCTTTCTTCTGGTCCACTCCATTGATTTGAGTCCCAGTTTCCTTTTCATTGCTATTGGTTTCCTGTGCAATTCCATTCATTTCAATTAGTTTCGCCTTCATGTTTCTCTAATTTGTGGCTATAATGAATCAGTTCTGTGAGGATCCTGATCACCAGTGTTTTAAACTGTGCGTCTGAGAGTTTTGCTATTTCTTCATTGCTTAGATTTATAGGCTCTGGGGCTTTGAGATCTTCTTGAGCCATTTTTGGTCTGTTCCCACCTGTTAAGTATAAGGAGCGGAGCCTTGGACTCCTAGGTCACTGGGTTGTGACACTGTATGTGAGAGCATGGTCAGAGCGGGGAAATGGCGGCCCCCTCTGCTGTTTCACACCGCTGGGTGAGGAGCAGAGTCTTAGCAGGGCGGGGCCACTCAGAGTCGCTGGGTTATGACGTTTATGTGGAGGCAGGGTCAGAGTGGGGAAATGGCAGCGCCCTCCGCTGCAGCTTGCCACAGAGACCTGCTGGGTCCCATCCAATCTCCCCACTCCCTCGCTTGTCTATCCGCGCACGAATGCGAGACCACAGTCAACCCGCAGCCCTGCTCCCTCGCTGTTTCCCCGTGGTCGCTGGGTCTCTCACTAGGTCCAACCCTGCGCCTGGATTCCGCGCGCCTGAGTCCGACTGACCGGGTTTTCCTGTGCTACTCCACTCCGCCAGCTGCTGGTTTCGCCCCTTACCAGTCAGGCTGAAGAATTTGTTGTTAACAGACTTCTGAAAAGTTCAATTTTCTGTGTTCTGTGTTTTCTGTTGCTAATATTTAGTTGTCTCTAAACTTGGTTGTGTGAGAAAGCACGGCGTCTCCGCCTATGCCTCCATCTTGGTGGAAGTCTCTCACTTCTGTATTTTAAATGGGGCTTCCCCACGGGCTGGCAGGGTTTTATGTGGCTGAATATGAATGCAGATGTATTATCTATTCTTGCCTGTGTTCTAGTGTGGACTCAGTCCTTTAACGAATGAATGACCTTATGAAAACATCCTCCATAACTGGTTGCTTATTATAATTTTCAGTTACAACTCAAGTTTAGATCACTTGAGTTCACCAGTCTTAGTGTTTCTAACAGATAATTATGTATCATCAACCCATTTCCTACAAAGAAAAGTTCTTGCATAACAGTAGCTTTTAAATTAAATCTATTTGATGAGGCCCTGGTCTAAAGTAAATCTAACAGTAATTTAACAAGTTTTTATGGAGCACCTATTATACATATAAGGCACTATGTGGACACAAAGATCAAAAAGCTAGTTTATGTTCTCCAGCATTCACAAGCTAGCAGAACAACATTAAGTTTTAACTGTATAATGTACTGTTAGTTCCATAATATAGTCACATTTCCTTGTTAATTAATGAATTATTGAAAACACTATTGAATAAAATACTTTTAATGATTAGAATTGCTGTAGTCATCACATACTTAATAGTTACATAGACTAAGATTCGTATTTTGACTTTTTATTTTTAATTATCTTTCAAAATTGAACATTCACATCCTCTGTGACCGAGTAGTATCACTCCTAGATATATATATATCCACGATAAACTGTAGCATATAAGTACAAGGAAATATACATGAGAAAGTATGCTGCAGTAGTGTTCCTAAGAGGAAAAGCTGAAGCAGCTCAACTGTGCATCAACAGCCATTTATTTCAAAAAGTTCTGCTATAAAGGGAAGGAAAAAATGGAGCAGCAGTGGGGGTTGAGAATTTCTTTTTAAGATAGGAAAAAAATAGCATGTTTGTATGCTAAAGAATAGATTCCATAGAAAGGAAAGGGGTGTGGGCACGGAGAACTGTTGGAGAACCTGACTTCTCTGACACTTAGCCTGGACTTGTTTCCTAGTTCTTAAGGGTGTACATACCCTCCAGCTTTAAGTTTTACCTGCTGAATCAAATGGAGCACATCAGCTAACTACCCAAAGGATATTTTTACTTATTGTAACTCCTACTGAAAACTGACTGCCCCAATTTCCATATCACCATATAAATCAGATCCAATTTACTCTATGCCTCCATTAAAATTATTATAAGGCAGTCAAAATGGATTAACTAGAGTTAGGTGCAAAAAACAGGGATGAATCTTAGCAACAAAATGCTGAGGGAAAAAAGGCAAGCTGAAGACTACAAGTAGTATAGTATCATTTTAAAAATGTTTAAATACCAGCAAAATGAAACCATACATTGCTTAGACATACTATATATGTGATAACATGAATGCAAAAGTGCAAAATTCGACAATGATTACCTGTGGGAGAACAGGAAGACAAGGAGAAGGGAACACATCTAAGTCACTGGTAATCTAGCTCAGTGGTTCTCAAACTTTGATGTGCATCGGAATCACCTGGAGAGCTCGTTAAAACCTAGATGTTAAAAAACTGGGTCCCACCCCCAAAAGTTGATTCAGTAGGTGTGTGTGTGTGTGGGGGGGGAGGCTAAGTACGCATTTCTGACCAGGTCCCAAGTGTTGCAAATGCTGCTCTTCTGGGACCACACTGAAGAGAATCACTTGTAGTTCTCAGGTTGAGCTGAGAGTTCACAGGTGTTCCATTCTATTTTACTGTTAAATGATTATAGTATTAAAAAAAAGAAAAAGAAAAAGATGGCTAGTCATAGCCCAAAGATGAGAGCATGCCCTGAAGAAAGGATTACTATTAATCCAATTCTGGGCTCCTGAAGCATCTCCCCCGGGAGAGCTCGAGTTCTGTCAACAAAAGCAAACTTGAAAAAAACTGCTCTAAGAATTCCAAGACCATTAAAAAATTACTATATTTTGTGAAAAAAAATTGTAAAATCGATTCTTATGTGCATAGTGATGTCATATTACATTCCACCTCTCTGGATCTAAATATTCTTTGGCAAAGACTTGGCACATTACAAACATACTTTTGTTGATTCTACAAATGTTGAGGGTGTTCAAAGAATTCCTTTACTTTTCAGTTCTTATCCTTCCCTTAGGTGCTCTAGGTAATTATTATTTTTTTTTCTTCCTTTCTCTTTGGCCCCTTTCACATTGAGTCCATTAGGTCCTGAGATAAAATTTAGACGTTTCAGAGCCCTATGACGACCAGGGACTATGGAGAAGGCATTAATTACTGTGTCCTGCTCTGTGCCAGCTACTGACTGGTGCTGGAGAAGTTCCCGAATACAAAATTCTTGCCCTCAAACAGTTTAGCTTAGAGAGGAAAATAGATCTGTAAATATTAAACTAAAACCTAAAGCAGACCATACAGGATACTATGACAAAATAAAGATTTACCCGCTTTCATAATCTCCCCTACCTCCCCTAGTTCCTCTAAACTATATCTCCTTTACGCGCTACCGCAAATCACCGGCGCAGGGTCCATAGTTCGTGACTCGCGGAGGGCGGGGATGACGCCGCCGCCGAGAGGGGGCGGGCACACGCTCCGTCCGGACTCCATTGGCTTTCCGGCCGGAAGCGGCGGAGACGCCTGGCTGCGCCTGCGCGCTTCGCACGTGCTTCCAGAACGCCCGCTCCGCCGGTTAGGCAGGGTGGGCGTCATGCTGCGAATTTCTGCCTTGCGGCTCCTAGGACGCGCGCTGGCCAGTAGGCTCTCGCTCCTGGACTGCTTCAGCTCGCGCCTCTACAGTTCGGAACCTCTCGGTGCCCGCGAGGATGCCCACGGTGCGCGCGCCTACTTCACGACACCCATTTTCTATGTGAACGCGGCTCCACACATTGGACACCTGTACTCGGCGCTACTGGCAGACGCTCTGTGCCGCTACCGTCGCCTCCGAGTCCCCACCGCCGTCGCCACGCGATTCTCCACCGGTACAGACGAGCATGGCCTGAAGATTCAGCAGGCAGCCACCGCTGCGGGCCTGGCCCCGACTGAGCTGTGCGACCGAGTCTCGGCTCAGTTCCAGCAGCTTTTCCGGGACGCTAGTATCTCCTCCACTGACTTCATCCGCACCACCGAGGCCCGGCACCGGAGGGCAGTGCAGCACTTCTGGGGAGTGCTGGAGGCTCGGGGTCTGCTCTACAAGGGGCTCTATGAAGGTTGGTACTGTGCTAACGACGAGTGCTTCCTGCCTGAGACGAAGGTCAGCCGGCAGCCAGGCCCATCAGGGGACTCGGGTCCTGTATCTCTCGAAAGTGGTCATCCCGTCTCCTGGACCAAGGAAGAAAATTACATTTTCAAGCTTTCCCATTTCCGGGAGCCGCTCCAGCGGTGGCTGCGGGACAACCCTCAGGTGATTACCCCTGAGCCATTCCATCATACAGTCCTTCAGTGGCTGGAGGAGGAGCTGCCAGATCTGTCAGTCTCTCGCAGGAGTAGCCACTTGCACTGGGGCATTCCTGTGCCCGGGGACGATTCACAGACCATCTATGTGTGGCTGGATGCCTTGGTCAACTACCTTACTGTAATTGGCTACCCAGATGCTGAGTTCAAGTCATGGTGGCCAACCACCTCTCATATCATAGGCAAGGACATTCTCAAATTCCATGCTATCTATTGGCCTGCCCTCCTCTTAGGGGCTGGCATGAACCCACCACACCGCATCTATGTCCACTCCCACTGGACAGTCTGTGGCCAAAAGATGTCTAAGAGCTTGGGCAACGTGGTGGATCCCAGAACTTGCCTTGACCGCTATACTGTGGATGGCTTCCGCTACTTTCTCCTTCGTCAGGGTGTCCCCAACTGGGACTGTGATTACTATGATGAAAAGGTGGTTAAGTTGCTAGACTCTGAGCTGGCAGATGCTTTGGGTGGTCTCTTGAACCGATGCACTGCCAGTAAAATAAATCCTTCAGGGACCTATCCGGCCTTCTGTACTACCTGCTTTCCCAGTGAGCCAGGGTTGGCAGGGCCATCAGTTCGTGCTCAGGCAGAGGACTATGCTCTGGTGAATGCAGTGGCCACTTTGCCCAAGCAGGTAGCAGACCACTATGCTAACTTTCAGATCTATAAGGCTCTGGAGGCAGTGTCCAGCTGTGTCCGGCAAACTAATGGCTTTGTGCAAAGGCATGCACCATGGAAGTTGAACTGGGAGAGCCCAGTGGATGCTCCCTGGCTGGGTACTGTGCTTCATGTGGCCTTGGAATGTTTGCGAGTCTTTGGAACTTTGCTCCAGCCTGTCACCCCAAGCCTAGCTGACAAGCTGCTGTCCAGGTTGGGAGTCTCTGCTGCAGAGAGAGGCCTGGGAGAACTTTATTTCCTGCCTCGATTCTATGGTCATCCTTGCCCTTTTGAAGGGAGGAGGCTGGGACCTGAAACTGGGCTCTTGTTTCCACGACTGGACCAGTCCAGGGCGTGGTTGGTGAAGGCCCATAGGACCTAAAAACTCAGTTCTTAGTGGTTTATGGCATGTGGTAAAAAAGCAAATTTGTTATTATATTTTGCATTTTTAGGAAAATTATATTAATGTTTCTAAAGTGTTGCATCAAATGAGCACATAAGCAATGGCCCTTTGAAAAGAGGTTTACAACCTTTTCAGGTGCCTACGCCTACCTCTTCAGTTCTCTGTGCCCATTAACCACTGTCCATTGCACACCTGTGTCCCTAAGACGTCTCTGGGGGAATGATGGGTAACAGGCAACTTTGCTAACACTGTTCCTTCTTGTTGTGCCTCCTTCCCAACCACAGTTAGGTTATTTGCCCAGACTACCTCTGATGGCTTGTTTTCCATTGGCCCGTCATCTGCTGGGCAAATTAGAATGGGGGATTGGAGGCCCCTGACCTCAACTTTTAGCTCTACTTTGTTATATAAGTTGATTCTCCTGTTAAAAAGAGATTCTCATATTAAATCTTTAAAAATCAGTGTCCTAGACTAGATTTTTGACCCTGTTTTTATTTTCAGTTCTTACAACCATGATTTTCTATACTTAGTTAATACTAAGTCCAGGTTGTGCTTTGTAATATTACACTTCAACCAGTAGATGGCTCTAGTCTCACATACTAACACTGAGGTTTTAGAATCTTTAGAATGCATTTGTTTTCTGCTTTCGAATTTTGCAGAATTTAAAGAAAAATTTTATTCCTTTTCTTAAAATGAGGGATAACTGCAACCACTGCTGTTTTACATAAATCAATGAAAAAAGACCAGGGTCTTTAAGTTCATTTCAGACTACTGAAACAGGGCATTTAATTTAATGTTTAAAAAGCTAATAAGTAAATGTATCAAGTTTGTTTGAACTATCTATGATAAATTATGAAGCTCTTGGTATGTTAAAAATTTTAAACTTTAGTAACAGATTTAGAGGTATGATTAAAACCTAAATTGTTCAAAAGGGCAGTATTTCCTTTATAGTTCTTAATTTTGTTATTCACGTACATAATTTACTTCACATTATTTCTTTTGGTCAATCAGGATCTATAATACAATATAAAAATCATAGAATAGTTATAAATGTTAGTACCTTTACTTTAAATTTTAAGTAAGTTTTACTGATTATTTCTTTTGCTCTTTTAACCTAAATTATGAAAGTTTAAAATTTGTAAGTACCTTATTCAGATATGTACTGTTGCATCTGTTGAAGGTAAATGTGAAGGGCCGAAATGACTGATGTTCCAGGAAATCTCAAACTGGATTTAGGGATCTCTTCAAGGCTCCGTAGGGGAACACCACAGAGAAGATGTTAAGGTATCAATTTATACAATGATTACAACACAGTAAGCCAACATTATATCTCAGGTGATTGATTGCATGGCTAGGCTAAAGTTTAAAATGAGAACTTGCCTTGAAATGGCTATTCTGAGCATGGTAGCACACAGAGAGTCTTTACTAAATTATTATGCTTCTAGTTCCCCCCAAGCTTATTCTATGTGCTACTATTTTGTTCCTGTTTCTGTTGAGAGATTTCAGTTTGCTTGGAACGCTGCTTAAAAAAGAATGCTTCACGGCATTCTAAAGGTGGAAGGACTGTTTCTACAGATGTTCCTTCAGACACTCCTTATACTTTATAATGGAATCTTGGGCTTTTGCTGGGATTTTTAGGGCTGATTACTGGGCCCAGGATAGAGTATAATATCTCCTAGGGCTGGAAAGAGTAGCGTAGTGAAAGACATGGGATGTATTTACATGGAGAAGCAAAGGATACTTGGGAAACCAGTGTAATGATAACTTCTGCCTTTGAAGTGCCCTTTAAGCAGTCTTACAGTTCCTATCATGAATGGAGACACAGTGTCTTCCACTTGACTGAGTTTTACTATGGCCTAGTGCTGGTCAGTACACAGGGCCTTGGCTTGCTAGGTGTTAATGGAGTTCCTTTTGTGTTGTCTGTCATTTGTGCAGGCATTTAAATGGCTAACAGAATATCTGTGGTACTGGACAGCACAAGCAAATAGGGTATTCAAAGAGGAGAGGGCATAATTATTACCAAAGACAAGATATTTTGAGTGAAGAGGTATGGTAAGTTGGATCTGACCTATTCTGTGGTGATACGGAAGATGAACCAGTTTGATTCTCTGTAGGAGGTAAAGCAACTATCCTTTGGGTACTTGATGTATTATTCAGTTTGATCCAGCACTTTAAGAATGTCAAGTCGTGGATAGGTGAAACTTAAAATTGGAGGGCATGCCCTTCCAAGAGAGGGTATCGTATTGGCTTTTGAGAAAAGATGATAAACTTGTAGGCATCTGAGAACCCCTTCCTTCAGAACTGTTAATCCCTCATCTGGGTCCCTTTGGGTCCCTTGACCAGAAAGGAGGTTTCTCCCAAATAATGACCCCTGAGGCTTTCAAATTTTCATTTTAGGTTATTCTTGGAGGCAGTGTTGTAGGAGGTTATGATAGACCACTGATCGGGTGTTTATAGGATGTCACATTATAGTAATAAGCTGTCAACTCAGTAGATTACAGTCCTATCTATGAAGTCATGTAAGAAGTTGTGGGCAATGTATACGAGGTCTGTCCAGAAAAAGTCCAGCCATTGTTAATATAATGAGAATGGTTTGTGCAACACTGATGTAACCGGGCAGCCAAGGAGAGTGGACTGGAATACAAATGCATGAACAAAGATAACTTCACTGTAGTATAGTCAGTGGGGATGGTAGATGTCGCTGAGTGAGCATGTGTACTGTGTAGCTGTTCAAAATGACTGAGCAAGTGGAGCAATGAATCTGCATCAGATTTTGCATTAAGCTTGAACATTCCTCCACAGAAACTACTGGCTGATTCAGAAGGCCACAGCTATGGGCAACTGGTGACTGGCAGCTTTATCATGACAGCGTGCCAGCTCATGCATTCTGTCTCATGCAATTTTTTTTCTGAAACATCAAATCACCCAGGTGGCTCACCCCTGCCCTCTGTACAGCCCAGATTTGGCACCCTGCAACTTCTGGCTTTTCCCAAAACAAAAATCACCTTTGAAAGGGAACAGATTCCATACTGTGGATGAGATTCAGGAAAAGACAATGGGGTACATAATGGTGATTGAGAGAATTGTGTGAGGTCCCAAGGTGCATACTTTGAAGACGACTGAGGTGTCATTGTCCTATGTGCAGTGTTGCTTGTATTTTGTATTTTCTTTATTAAATGTCTGTTTTTCATATTACATAGCTGAATATCTTCTGGACAGACCTTGTAGGTTAACTGGACCATACTATATTAGAGGCTGTTCCACAAGTGAACTCATAGATTAGGCATCTTGGAAGTCAGAAGACCTGTGGCTGTATAGAAGTCAAGAACAGGCAGGAACAAGAAATAGATACAGCCTCAGATTTCACGGAAATCTGTTATTCTGGAAGTAGCCTTTATCATTTCCTTTCCTCTCTCTTTTAAAAAAATCTTCAACCAGGGACATGCTTATTGATTTCAAAGGGAGAGAAACATTGATTGGTTGCCTCTTATACATGCCCTGACCTGGGACTGAACATACAACCTAGGTGTGTACCCTGACTGGGAATCAAATCCATGACCTTTTGGTTTATGGGACGATGCTCCAACCAACTGAGCCATACCAGTCAGAGACTCACCATTTTTATTAAGAAGTGTGTGACCGTAGGGCCTGAGAAGAGACTGATAAATTGTCTATTAAGTTGATACTAAAGTACTCAAGAAGGCCTAGGATGAAACATGGACTCTGGTGTAGTTTTTTTTGTTTTGTTTTTGCAGTTGTACCTGTGATTGGGACATAGGTCCTTAGATATGGGAAGTTCTAAAGCTGAAATAAAGCCAGTAGCTGATGAGGTTGTGGAACTCCACCTAGAAGGACTTTAAAGTAACTTGGGCTGCATGTTGCGGCACCAGGCATTCCACAGATTCCCCCTTGGGCATTACGGTAGGGATAGTTTCCTGGAACTGTGCCCAACCCCTGGTGAATATAGTTGCAGTGTTGGCCTGCATTAGTATAACCCTGAGTTATCGGGGAGGCCATGCCTCTTGACTAAGATTTGATCCATAAAGCTGCTTATGATAACATAATTGCCTCCTGGAGACAGCGTCTCCACAGTTATACCAGATATAGAACAACTAGTTGGTGAGGTCTAGGGTGCTGTAAAACTTGGTGGGTCATTGCCCTTTTTCCAGAGTGAATAGTATTAGTGGACCTCAGAGGGTGTGGCTATATAGCCATGCATCTATTTTTGCAACAAAGGGTAACTAATTCATAGAGCTTGGGGGGTGGGGAGATAGGGTACAGGTTAGGGGGATCAGTGCTAGAAAGTTTTTGAGTCCCCTGCAAAACTAAGATGGCATAAAATGTCATTTCAGCACAACACAGCTAGCCTTGCCCCTTTTACAGAAACTTGGGATAGGATTGGTTAACTTTTATCAATAGTAACACCAAATTTGGAGGTTAATATTGCTTGAAGGGCCAGAGCAGTAACAACCAAGTTAATTAAGGTTAATTAGTAAGGATTTTAACTTTTAAGAGTGTCTTATTCTTTTCTGAGACCAAGGATAGAAGCTCAGCCTAAGGTGCTTTCCTCTTTATAGCACTAACCCATTTGGAGGTGAAACTGGCTCTTCCTTCACGTTTAGGTCGTTCTGGATTACCCAGTACAGATCCTTTGAATTAAGGAAACCATCTAAGGGAAATCTTTGATCATCTTTAAAATACCTGCTTAAGATTATATCACATCAATCAGTTTCTACTTACATTTTCATGATGAGGAGAGGGAATTGAAAAGAGCTGACCTCCACAAAGATCTTCCAGTGCCTTAACAATTAGAAATGATGTACTCTCTACTGTGTCTCTGGAGGTTCAGCCATACTTGAATCTTCACCAAGGCAAGGCTATAGTATAGAAGTTTTATCCTTGGCTATGAGTTGAATTTAACCCCCATTAGTTTATTGACACAGTTGAAGTCACCATGGATTTTAAAGTCCACGAAACCTCCTCACTTAAGAACAAGATGTCAGCATATTTCAGGAAACAAAGTGTGCCATCTGCAAGAATAAAATTACAGCTCCAAGGAGAGATGGGTGGGACCTGCCTTCAAGTCATTAAGAATTTTGGGATGAGATGTCTGCAGAAGGCCTGGAAGAGTCACTGAGTACACTGGAGGGACAGCCCTAGGAAAAACTCTGGAAGTGGATAAGCCACCTTTCCTAGTGCATAGTGTGGTGAAAACATTACTAACCTCCTCAATACTGTACTATTTCTAAGACTGTAGTTGACAGTCACTGGTTTGTGGGATTTAACATAAAGATGAACCTTTAAAAACTAATTTATGATTGACTGTTATAGAGTGGAATCATTGTTGTGTTCTCTTAATCCAACACATTCAATTAAAAAATGACCACTTATGCATTTTTCCCAATTAAAATATTTTAAAAGGGTAATATCTTTTACTTTGGAACACAGTGAATAAGATTGTTTCAATATTCTGGTTTATTTGAACTAGACTAGAAGCACCTATTGGTTAAGAAGTTGTAAATATTAAAGATAGAAAGTTAACAAGCATGTTATATATTTTAGGTTAATCATTAAATAATACAAATAGAATGTACTTCTTTCGAGCCATATGAAAATAAATGTTAAAACTCAATCCAACAGAAGACAGGAGAAAAGAGCAAAGAAAAATGAAAAATTTGGTAAAAGAAAACCCATGATAAGATGGCAGAAATACAAGTATATCAGTAACTTAATAAAACATCATAGGATCAACCTCTGTCAAAAGACAGCACTGTTCAAGCTTAAATTTAAAAGGTTGGCCTAGCCCTGGCTGGTGTAGCTCAGTGGATTGAGCATGGGCCTGCGAACCAAAAGATCGTGGTTCAATTCCCAGTTCAGGGCACATGCCTGGGTTGCAGGCCGGTTCCCTACAGGCCAGTTCCCAGCTGGGGACACACGAAAGGTAACCATACATTGATGTTTCTCTCCCTCTCTCCTTCCCTTCCCATCTAAAGATAAATAAAATATTTAAAAAAAATTAAAAAAAAAAGGTTGACCTTATGTAGTTAAAAGGTATGTACCTAAATATAACAAAATATGACATGGAGAAACACTAGACAAATATAAACCCAAAAAAAGTTGGTATATGAAACAACATGGATGGAACTGGAAAGCATTATGCCGAGTGAAATAGGCCAGGCATTGAAGGACAAATACCATATGATCTCACCTTTGACAGGAAGCTAAAGAATAAAACAAACAAGCAAACAGAATAAAAACAAAGACACTGAAATAGAGAACAAGTGGGCAGTGACCAGAGGGGAGAGGGAAGGGAATTTAAGGGGAAAAAAGGGGAGGGATTTTGAGGAACAAGTATGAAAGACACAGGGATGAAGACTAGGGGGGGAGGAAATGGGAGGGAGGTGGGGAGCACGGGGCAGGGGGGGCTGGGATGGGAGAAATAGACAAAAAACTGTACTTGAAAAATAACTAAAATTAAAAAAAAAGAAAGTTGGTATATTAATAGTAGACAATCTATATTGAAGGGAAAAATCATTACTAAAAGTGAGAATATAAAAATAACTGCAACAAATTATAAGAATTATGAACTTGTATGATCTAATAACATAGCCTCAAATTCTGAAAAGCTAAAGCTAAAATTGAAAATGATAAATGTTTGTCTATAAAAAACCCATCCGAAAACAAACAAAACCCACCCCCAAAACTGCCTTTCATGAGTTCAGAGAAACCATGCAGTGAGAAAGTAAAACTTACACTAGGTATTAGTATTTCAGTCTTTAATGCTCATTACCAAGTGGATCATCATTGCTAAGTGTGAAAAATAAGTTTTATAGCAGGTAAAGTTTTGTGACTAAAACTTTATGCCTCTGTGAAAATAATAACTTTTTGAATAGAAATATCAGCAAATCTACTACCACTTCAGTAAATCCTCTCTCTGGATTATTAAAAAGGGAGAAGTCCCTGGCTATAATTTTGCAAAATTATTAAATTGTTAGTTCAGCGATAAGTGAAGGTGAAGGGAGAGAACCAAAAGTTTTGTTCCCATGAACTCTGTTAAGTATTAGTCCTTCTTTTTAACTGATGAAAAACTGAGGCCCAGGGAGATTAAGTAACTTGGCTAAGGTTATACAGTGTGTAAAACAGGAGAGCCTAGACTCACGCTTGTCCTGATGCCAGAGCTTCAGCACCATCTTAGCACCAAAACCACAATCAATCAGTGAGGATGCAAACTGAAGGCACTGTATGTGGGGAGGAGAAAGTGCTTTAATCAGGTCCACAGACCTGAAAGTGAAAGAATCTTTAATTGAAATACATTAATGAGTGTTTCATGATGAAGAATTGGTTCTTGGTAGCTAGATTATGAAACAAATGGCTGCCAAAATAGAAACTTGGAAAACATTCTTACCTTTATTATAAAATAAATATTTCTCTTTTGCTTTCAATAGCTTCCTTTATTATCCTAAACCTGCTTATGTGTGCTGGTGTAAATTTTTTAAAAAGTAACTCTATAGTCTCTATTTTTCTTTTCCCTTAAGATTATATTATTTCTGTTTCTCATTTGCAGAACTGTGTTCCCAATTCTTGACTCTAAAAGTTCTCCTCTAAGTGAAAGTATGTTAACATATTCATGAAGCTAAGTGTTTTGAGTTAACATTTTACTAATTGATACTTAAAACACACATTTATCTCTACACATGAAAACATATCAGTATTCAAGTTTTATTTGAATTAACTATTATAGCAACAAGGTCAGAATTTTGTTAGAGGTTATAAACACTGAAACTTTTTTCAAACATACAGTTTTAATACAAAGGAATTTACTAAGAGACTCGTCTATTTACTAACAACTTAAATTCTGTGAATTTATTGAACATTTATTACTGTATTCTTATGACATCTTTCCCAACAAGCTTGCAGAAACCAGTAAACTTTTTGACCCCAGTTATTACTGAAGCAAATACCACTCCTTTAGCTAAAATGCCACATACTGAATAATTCCTAGTAAAATATGATCTCATATATGACAATCAAAACCTGTGTTCCCACAATTAGAGACTTTATTATGACTTGCATAAAGAATACTCCATCATATTTTACATGTTTTATGAAATATAGCTATTATGTTGGACATGGGCTATACCTTGAAGTGTGATAAAACCTATGTTTATATAACACTTAGCTATCATCTAAATTCTATTTTAGAAAAGGTATTAGAAGGTATTAAACTCCTTGCTAATTTGGAAGGCCAAGAACACCTATATCTAGTCTGTGTTTTAAATAATTTCATCAGAACTCTATAAATTCAAGTTACACAGTCCCATAGTTAAGCAAGGCATGGTGGATAATTTTTCAGAATTCTCTGCATGGCAGACTATGACTTGCTAATAGACTCACACTGACGTATGTATTATAAATAATATATGACATTTTTGATTACCTTCACAAATCATTAAGTAAATTACAAAGGCTTTCATAAAGCAAAGAATCTTCAATCTTCCTGGTAAACTGAAATTATTGCATTCATTTTATATTTAAATTTCTATAAAACTTATGGAAACTCCCTATATTTTTAGAAAGCAAAACTTTTTGGTCTTGAGTTTCATTTATAACTCATTACAGGAATGCATTTACACAATGTGTAAGCCTATTTTGGTTTTATAGAAGAAAATTGTAAGTAGTAAAATAAAGTGAGTTACTGAAAATATGTGTGGTTGGTTAATTACATTTTCACACCATTTCAGGATTTGGAAGGAATATTTTTTGCTAAATATAAAGCAAGGATTTTTAACATTCATTATGACATTTTCTGACCTTGTATAAAAATTGTTAGTTAATAATCTTCAAAGTGTAAGGTTTTTTTTTTCTTATTAAAATGGTGTTTACATTAGGCAAACCTCTAGATAGTAGTTAATTCATAACAAATTTTAGACGAAACATTCTTGGATGTAACCGATGTCATTACATTAGTTTTCTAGCCAAAGGAGGGAATATAGCACTTCTTAGTTTTTCCATAATCCATGAAACCATCTAAAAGTGGAGCTATCAGTGCTGGGGCACAAAAACGAATGTAAATGTATGACTGTGGCCCAAAGCATAAAAATTTAAAAGTCAACCCTGATCTCAGACAGAAACAAGGGAAAAATGGTGAAAACTTATCACTTAACATCAAGAGTAGTGACAAGGGCTCTAGTCAAGTTCAACCAAGTTATCAAAACTCATCATTGACACGTTTGTAGAGGCAGGTGTTTTTTTAAAATACTCAATACGTGAGGGTAGGCAAGTCTGAACTCAGAAGAGTTGAAAACAAGTCACTCTCTGAAGACGCACACGTAGCCAGGGCACAGGTATAAAAATCCATTTGGTAAACAGGATTGTTACTGAATTTATTTTCACTTTTCCTTTGGCACAGACATTAGGATATTTCATGTATTGAAAACTGTTCTCACAAACAGCTGGGTTTAACCTGAATAAAATAATCTCACAAACTAAGACCTACATAGAAGATAAAATGGAATACTGACAGTGTACTGAATCTGACATGATATATGTAGTGAATGCTCATACTTGCTAAGATGCTGTTAAGAACCCCTGTATGAATGACAAAAGAGGGCCAAAAATAGTATTGTTTCTCCACAGTAACTGGTATAAGATAAATGGTCTAAATGACATATTTCCATATATTACATACATAAATTATTTTAAAATGTATTAACGTCTGCCAAAATTTCTAATGTAAACCTAACGTTTATCAAAAATATTTAATATAGGTAAAATATACATAAACCTAAATACAGTGAAACCAAAATAACGTAGGAGCTAGAATCTTTTATATATTATCTCTGTAACAAGATAATGTTTTTCTGAATTTTCCATGTTACAACAAATGGTCTGCTGCTGTGTATATTCTGTATATGCCATGGCGATGTCTACGTGTATGAAACACCTGGAATAAAACTGAAAAGCCCAAACACCAAAGCTGTCTTTAAGTGGTGGTTTTTGACATTATCATCTAGATGATGACTGAGTTTTTCTAACTTTATCAAAATATTTGTTTTATAGATATCCTTTGTTTAATTTGTTACAGATTACAAGTCTATGTTACTTAAGTGTGTGTGAATAAAGGAAACCATGATTTTATCCTGCATCTCCAATGTTCTGCCTACTGAGATTTCTTTAATTCCCTTAAAAAAAGTAAAAACATTTAATCTTAAGCACACCCAAATCCTCATATTTGTTACCAAACCACAGTGGGGCTAGTTGTTTTCTGATATTGGATAAAATATTTATCCAAGAATCTACTTGACAGAGTCAATAGAGGAAGGTGGAGTAAGAACTGAATCCTCTCCTTTGATATCTTTTCTAGGATGAAAGTGTGGGCTTCGAGAATATCGAGGCTTCAAGCCTATGGATGAAGGTTGAGAAAAGCTTCTTCTCACAGAATGTAACCTTGGTTCCTATTAAGAGATTTAAAAAAATTAGGGTTTTAATACATTTTAAATGGCTATTTTATAGTTACTTAAGGGAAATATTTTAAGAAATATGTTAACTGGGCCTGGATTCTGAGGAGACAAGTTATGGTTCAGGAAATTCCTGTTAGGAAGAGTGAGTTACCTTATAACCTGCTGCTGAAATGGGAGGCACTCTTGGCCTATGAAAAGACTCACTAAAAAGGATCTGAGAATAGCCGTATCTAATGGTATTTCCAAATTACAAGGCTACACTTCCTTTGTGCTATCTCAGACTTTTGGTAGAGATTTCTTTAAAAGATTAATGTACTTAGTGATACACAGAATTAGAGTCATCCTATCGTTGAGAAAGCAAATATCCAGAGAAAATCAGGGAATTATTAATAAACTTTCATGTTAATAGAGTAATATTTTATTCTATTGTTAAGTAGAACCTCTGTTCCAACAAACGATGTTTGTTTGATCCACTGCTAAGTATAAGGATTGCTGGAGATACAGCTTTGCTCAAGACACTCAAATAGGAAAATTTTAGCTAAGGCATTTATAATGACTAAATGCTCCAGAGCATCAGTGCTTAGCCAAGTGCTTTTGCCTGAAAACTCATCATTTGCTTTACCTGCTTTAAATGATTTGAGCTTCAGTGTTGTGATTCAAGACAAATGCAAATATCATGGAGCCTGAGTTTATTTCATAAAGTTGAATAGAACTCTGGAAGAAGCACATAAGCCAAATCAACTGCTTTGCCTGAATCTGACAACAGAAATTTAATTCCAAGTGTTCTAATAGTTACAAAAACTAGCAACCTACATATAATTAGGAACCAAACATCCAAGACAAAAAGCAAAATTTCTTGAAATAGGGATGTTTGATAA